AGTCTATGGGCTGACAAGAAATAAGGTGTTGCTGGACCTGGTACTGGCCAAAAGGGATGATCTAGTCAGTGACCTGAGGATCAAAGGGAAGCTTGGTGACAGTGATCATGAGTTGATCACTTTCTCTATCCATTGCAAAGCTGGCAAATCAGTCAGTGATGCAGAAATCCTGGACTTTAGGAAAGCTGACTTTCACAAGCTCAGGAGGTTGGTTGTTGAGGCCCTGAGAGACCATGATCCGACAGGGAGGGGAGTCCACAATAAGTGGTTGTTCCTTAAGGAAGTCATCCTAAAAGCACAAGGGAAGTCCATTCCAGCCCATAGGAACGGTAGCAAAAGAGCTGGGAGACCCTCTGGCTCAATAGGGAACTCACGGACCTCCTGAATTTGTAAAGAGAAGCTTATAAGAGATGGAAGTTGGGAACTACCTCTAAGGAGGAAAAAGTCCTTCTTTGAATATGTGGGAAGTCAGAAAGAAAACAAGGCTCTGATGTCAGCCAACTCTTTTAGCACTCTTGGATACATTCCGTCCGGGCCAGCTGACCCTTGATACGCTATAGCTCATGGGCTGGGAAAAGAGTTCAAGGCTGCCCTTGTCTCCTTCTGACTGAGCAGAGGCACCTGCTATGCTCCTCAGTGGTGGGGCTGCAAAGCATAGCTCCAAGAAATCACATTAATATTTAAAGAATGTAAAAATTCACTATACTACAGCATATAGATGATTGAGTTCAGGATCCTGAGGAAAGGAAGGATGGAGAGCGGCAGAGTAAGGACTCTGGACTTCAGAAAAGCAGACTTCGACTTGCTCAGGGAAGTCATGGGTAGGAACCCCTGCAAAGCCAGTCTGAGGGAGAGAGGAGTCCAGGAGGGCTGGCTGTACTTTAAAGAAGTCTTACTGACAGTGCAGGAACAAACCATCCCAATGTGCAGGAAGACTAGCAAGTATGGCAGAAGACCAGCTTGGCTTAGTAGTAAACTAAATTTAGTAAACTCTTCAGTAAACTAAATCGCAAAAGGGAAGCTTATGAAAAGTGGAAACTTGGACAAATAACTAGGGAGGAGTACAAGAATATTGCATGGGCATGCAGGGATGAAGTCAGGAAGTCCAAAGTGCAACTGGAATTTCAGCTAGCAAAAGATGTGAAGGGTAACAAGAAAGTTTTCTACAAGTATGTCAGCAATAAGAGGAAGATCAGGGGAAGTGTGGGCCCTTTACTGAATGTAGGAAGCAAACTAGTGACACAGGATGTAGAAAAGTCTGAGGTACTCGATGCTTTTTTCACCTCAGTCTTCACAGACAAGGTCAGCTCCCAGACTACTGCACCTGGCAGCACAGTTTGAGGAGGAGGTGAGCAGCCAACAGTGGTAAAAGAACAGGTTCTGGACTGTTTAGAAGAGCTGGACCTTGAAGTTATAGTGGATGATAAGCTGAATATGAGCCAACAGGGCACCCTTGTTGCCAAGAAGGCTAATAGAGCATTGGGCTGCCTTGGTGGAGTACTGGGCTGTCCTGTTCAGTAGGGCAAGGAAGTGATTCTTCGCCTCTACTCAGCACTGGTGAAGCCACATCTGGAGTATTGTGGGCCCACCACTACAGAAAGGATGTGGAAAAATTGAAGCGAGTCCAGCAGAGGTCAACATAAATGGTGAGGGGGCTGAGGCACATGACTTCTGAGGACAGGCTGAGGGAACTGGGCTTATTTAGTCTAGAGAAGAGAAGACTGAGAGGGGATTTAATAGCAGCCTTCAACTACCTGAAGGGGAGTTACAAAGACAATGGAGCTAGACTGTTCTTAGTGGTGGCAGATGGCAGAACAAGGAGAATGGTCTCAAGTTGCAGCAAGAAGTTTAGGTTAGATATTAGGAAGAATTTTCTCAGTAGGAGGGTTGTAAAGCATTGGAACAGGTTACCCAGAGAGGTTGTGGAGTCTCCATCCTTGGACGTTTTTAAGACCTGGCTAGACAAAAACTTGGCTGAGATGATCTAGTTGGTAATGGTCCTGCTTTGAGCAGGGGGTGGGACTACATGACCTCCTGAGGTCCCTTCCAACCCTAATTTTCTATGGTTCTATATTCTAGGGATGAAGGGAAAATTAAAAGAACATAGAAGCTGCAAATTGTCAGGAATTTTTGAAAAATGGTTTAAAAATCCAGCTTCCCACATTACTAGTGTGGGCCATACTCATCAAAGTATAGTATTTAGAATCCAAGGGACTCTAGAGATTGTTTTACTAGTGCCATTCCTTGTGGAGAAGATCTTTTGTAACTGTCAGAATGGAACAAACAAAGGTGTATGACACCTGGATCCTTGCCAATATGCAAAGCACAGAAGATACTGCAATTAACTAATGCACTGAACTAAAAAAAAATCTTTCTAGACTTTTGTACACATACACAAATATTTTAATATAATGGTATCTGAAATGTTATCCACATTATTAGTACTATCATAATTATTAACTAAAAAGGTATTCTTTTAAATTCTGTAAAAATGACATATTTTACACATCCTCTATTTACAATTGCAATTTACTTAAATGTTATAAAACATCCAATTTTACCTTTAAAATATACCAGGACTCAGTATTAGATATATTATTATTGACTGCAAACTTAGGGTTTGCTGTGGAACTAAACATTCAATGGATATCAAACTAGCAATTTAAAAAAAATCATCACTATCAAGATATCCAATAAATTAAAACCATATCACATGATCCATTGTCATGTTCATGATCCTTTTTTTAAAAGAATAAAGTTCTACAGAGGTCTGGATAATGTCATTGATGTTTTGGTCAAGCTTCAGGATTTGATGGCATTAGCGCTCCTGGCACAAGTGTGTTTGTCCTAGAGATGGCTCGTGAATAAGTTCGCTCCATTCCTTGCTGTTTTGCTGGATCCTCCTTGTATGTAATCTTTGAAAGAGAATAAATATATAAAAGAAATAGATTAAAGCAAATCATATCCTCGAATAATTTAGACATTTTAAAACTCTTTTCAAGGATTTAATATTTTTGGTTCATTAAATAAAATGTTATTGATTTGGAAAACTTGATAGAAGGAGCTTTTATATTAGAGAATTAACTTGGGGCCCCAAGTCTTGCTGTCCTATCAATCACACCCTCACTTTTCATCAAGAGGCTTATTTAGGAAAAGACCCAGGGTGAGGCCCTTCGTTGGGATTCTCAATATCAATGTTTTACACCATGTCAGCTAGAATTGCACAGTTGACTATCTTTCATAAACAAGTTAGATTAATGTTTATTGTATTATATGCAATGTTACACTTAGGGGACACTGTCCTACAACTAGATCCACTTGTACCCACCCAGAAACCTAAAAATGAGTATAGGGTTACAGGGTTTCAAAGATTCCCTTGCTGGAAAGATCAAGGCTAATATTATACAATTCAAAAATAGGGACATATAGACAGATACTGAAAAAAGACAACTACATAAGTAAGGAAGATATAACTCCTTTTTTTCATTTCAAGTAATGTGCATGTACATGGCCCAATGCAACACCAAGCAAAGATACCCAAATTTACTCTGAACAAGTAGGACTAAGGTTACATGATCGTGGCTATACTACTGCCCAAGAAGGCTCAGGCATCTCTGCATGCCAAAAATGTTCTTAATCCCATTAATATTTACCTCTGACATTTATAAGGCTGGTAAAAGAAAGTTTGTCATCTTCTAAGAAAGACTACATGAAGAAATTTTAGTTGAAATATTCACTTCCAAAAATAATAGCGTGAACATTATTTTGACACTATATTGTAAAGTATGGATGACAATGGAAAACATTCTTCTTGTTGCTCTCCAAGTATAATCCCATGCAGTTCTTAACCAGTCCTTTTCATCTGCCAGCCTCCAAATGCTTTAGTAATGGAGATTATTACCATTTAATGCATAGGGGAACAGTGGCGCATAAAGTGGGGATTGACTTGCTCAAGGCCAATTGGCAGGCCAGTGGTGGGTCTTACAGTGGTTCTGAAAGACATTTAGGCTTGGGCTCTGGCAGGCCTCAAAGGGAGAGAGCTCTCAAGCTGAAGAGTGACTCCTGAAAACAATCCCCCATGTGTTTATGGCCAAGCAAATTTGGCAGACCAATGATACTTGCAGGAGGTTGTTCTTGGTTTAGAGATCTTAGGAATCATGATGGAGTATAAAGGAGAAAGTACCCTTAGGTACATAGCACCTGGGCCATTTAGGGTTTTACAGATCACGACAAGCCCCTGAGTTGTGCCTGGAAAGGTACTGGAAGCCCATGCAGGCTCTGGAGCACTGAAATGGGCCTAGAACCTAGGCTGCCTATAGAAAAACTTACTCAGAGCTACATGTACAAACATTTGAATGCTGAAGCCCTAAAAAGTGGAAAGCTTGCAGTGCTGACACTATGCAGCCAGGGGGGCCCTACACACACATTTCAGCATGCTCCACAGGCTCCTTTACTCTGTATGACAACAGATGACAGCAGTGCACAGGGCAGCCTTGACTGGCAGCCCATTGCCAATGGTCAGTCTGTGTTTCCCTGCAGTACGTGTAGGGATTGTGAAGGGCTCTGTTCTGCTTCCTGCTGGAGCAGCAGAGTCCAGTGAGCAACAAACTGTCTGCACGATGGTGGCAGCGGGGTGCGGGGGGAGGGTAAAGAAGGGATGCTGGAGGACTATGTTCTCTTCTGAGAGAAGCAGCATATACAGATATTTGCTCTCCTAGGAGAAACTCTCCAGGGATTGATTCAACCGTGATTGTTCCCAGGTTATTTTTCTTCTGGAGTGGCCATTTTTACTCTGGGAGTAAAAGCCTGAACAACTGTATGCTTGTGGTTTCTCCTGGGAAAGCAGCAACTCGTAGGAGAAACCAAATTTCTGCACCAGGTCCTAATCTCCTCCTGGTAACTTAATTTGTAATTTGGCATCAGCTACCATTCTGTCCCAAATGAACAGTGATCTTCAGGAACAAGAGTGGAAATGGACATTTTGGTCTGCAAGGTGGATAATTTTACAAGCAAACATGCTTGGGACACTGAATGCTGAGCTTGTAAAGAGAAGATTTTGTACAGACAATAAGTGCTGTGCGCTTTGCAAGCCTTTCCTGTTGAACCTGAATATTTTTCCCTAAAAACTTATTTGGTTATGCTATTAATGTGCTGCAGGCTATGACATTTGTCACCTTTTTTATTTCACTCAGCTGTCATCATGACAAAAATAGCCTGGTCATTTTTACAATTTAGTCTGTTCAGTTGTGGTTCCTGGTCCTCCTGAACTAGCCCACTGGCATGTTTGGCATCATAAGAATGCAAGGAGATATTTAAATGCAACAGATTTAGTGAACTGATTCTCCGTCCTCCTTTCTTTTTCTTAAATCTGAGTGTTGTGCCCAAAGCTAGATGACAACTGCTCTGTAGACATGGGTGGTCCAGAATCTGTCTCCCAGTGGAGTCAGTGAGAGCAGAACCATTAGAAATTAAAATTAAAATGAACTTCATATAGTAATTAAACAACATGGACAGGAGAATTTCACTGAGGGGAAAAGTGGCTACTCTAATATTTCCTTTACTTGGTAACTCACAGCTTTGTCTTCTTTTCTCCTTTTCTATTTCTGATGGCACTGCATAGGTGTTGTGCAAATGTTACTCCTCATTACATCTGGGTTCTAGAGGAATCATAGAGCTTTGCTAGAGGAAGAAAAGAGAAGAGGATCCGAGGCTCCCTGTCTCTCTTCATTGTCTTGCTCACCAGCTCCTCCCTCTATCCTTGAACTCCAACCCCTCTTTAAACGCAAACCCACTGCCTATTATCTATGAGGGAAGTAGGCAGCTGCCTCTTTACCAGGGTTTCTGATGAGTTAACCAATAGCCAAATGAGTTATCACCTTTTCAGGGCTCAAACGTACTGCCTGTGAATGAACTTTCAGTGCTTGGGCAACAGAATACACAATACTACTTTTAAAAGTGTTTTATTCTCCTGCGTAGCCCCCAACTTGCTCAGGATACATATTCTGGATTCCCTTATCCAGCCATCAGCACCTGCAGTGCAGCACCTGCTATCTGGCAAGGAAATTGGAAGACCATTCTTGACTAGTAATTTGGTATTATCATCCTGGATCCCCACAGCCACAAACTACGGTTGTTGACTTCTGCTAAGCCTCAAAATCCTAGCAGTCCAGGAGTTTTTAGCCTCAGAGCTGCTCCTGAATCCAGACTGCACAAGTAGCATGTCTTGTTTTTTTAACCCTGAAGAGACTTAAAGGACACTTAAATGAACATATAATGTAGGTAAAACAGAGAATCAGCAAGAAAGAGTATGTCACTTTAAAGGAAATTATAGACGTAAGAAAAAAAACGAACATACCACTTTTGGCTATAGTACTGAGGGAAATGTTAGACAGGGAAGGAGAGAAACTGTATAAGCATGGACCATGACAGAGCTGGCAGAAAAAAAGAGAAAAGCATACATGATGAAAGAGTCATTATCAGTAGGTATGCACACTAATCAGTCTGGAATACAACAATGAGAAGGACATAGACCATAATGTCAGAGGCAAGGATTTTTGTATATCTTTTACTGGACCAGCTGTATAGGTAAAAGGGATATAGATAAGCTTGTGGTTACCCAGTACCATTCCTTAGGTCTCTGAGGGTGAAGTTACACATTACACTTGGATCACATTGAAGGCACTTAAAATGCCAACATACATGGGTGCAGACAGAAGTGCAGCTCCCAGCTGTGACTCAGAATGATTTTTGCAAAGTGTTCTGAGTTACAACATTACCCCAGACCAAACAGAAGTTCATTCCTGGTTCCAGGGGAGAGGGGAATCTAGCTGTGACTGGGAGCCTGCAGCCAGGTTCCCAAAGGAATGGCCAGGGTTTCTGCCAGTGCTCGCTGTTTTCAGAATGGGAGGGGGAAAGGCAGTGGACGGAGCTTGTTCTTGGGGCTCCCCAGCTAGTGCTGAAGGGTGAAGTGGGTGAATTGGAGCCCCCCCCCCCCTTCTGGGGGGGAAGAGCTGAAAAAACACCATACTGAACTCCCTCTGCTCCCTCCCATTCTGAAAACAACATGCTGGGAGCTGGCAGATACAAGTTACAAAAGATGCTACATTTTGTAATATTTTTATCTGATACCTCATACAATGATGGGTCAGATTTTCGGTGAATCAGCCATTTTTGAAGCTGTTTGCAGCTGTGCACTTGTGTTTGGTCACAGCTGTAAACTGTTTTCTGTAGCCAGATCAGGTGAAAATTGTCACTTCTGTCTGCACCTCATGTGTTACAGGTCCTTAACATGTGCTAATTGCCCTCTAAGCATCTTAAAAATTATGCCACTTCAGGTGAGGACATTTGAACCCTGCTGCCAGCTCAAGTTCCTTTAGTGTCAGGCTGTTGCACTGAGATAAAACAACCAATCTGCCATCTTCCAGTATCCCAGGAGTCACAGCTCCTAGGACCTAGGTGGACTACCTATCCTCCCTGACTCTTCAGCCCTGGATTGACAGCTGGGACAGCCTAGCAGTGGTGGCTGAAAGAGGGAGGAACAGGGGATGAGAGGAGAAGGAAGGGAGAAGAATGAAAGAAAAGGGGGATGGGGTGGATGGGGAGCTGCTGGGCAGTTGCTTGGGGAGAGGGGCTGGCAGGTAAGCAGGCAGCCATGCGGCCTAGAGGAGGCACACTAACTGGATGTGGGGGTGTGGAGGTGTTGGGTCCCAAACTGTGACACATGGGGGCAGTGTGGGCTGCAGGGAACCCAAAAACAGGCAGGGGGCCTCCCTGCTGCTGCCGCTGCCCTGCCACTCTGGGCTGAGCACTGCCCCCAGCTAGTCCTTGTTAGTGTGGGAGCAGGCAAGAACTGGGAATACACCTTCTCAGCTGCTGCTGCTCTCAAGCTGAGCACAGCCCCTGGAGTAGAAGGGGAGCTTTTCTCACCCAGGCAACAGCACTGGCAGCTGCAGGGGAGCAGGGTATTGGGAACCAGGTAAGAGCTCCATGGGGAGGGTGAAGGTGAGTGCCAGGGGGCAATAAGGGTGCTGCTGGAGAGCAAGGGCAGACCTGGCAGCTCCTAGCCATGCCTCTTTCCACCAGCCACTCAGGGACCCCAGTGGCAAGTCTGAGCAGTGCAGGTCAGAGAAAGCATTAACCTTTAACACAAAACTGCTCAGACAATGATCTCACTTTAATACCACTTAAATTGTCCTAATTGTAACATATAACAGCACCCTGAGAAAAAAGCAGACACAGCTTATGCTATAGAGCAGGTAGAACAAAGGCTTATATAAAACTTCATATGTACATAAAAACACAGGATATAAGAGACACTGTCAGAGAAACAACAGACAGGAGAAATACAGTACATAGGATATATAAACTCTGATTATACAGACACTGGTAATTATATACACTAAATAACTATGCAAATGGTGCTTAAGTGTGAAATCAGGCCATTTCACACACAAAGTGGTTATTTGCAAATGAAAATTTTCTAGGTGCAATTTAGGGTTGCCTACACACAAATCATCAGAAAAATAATATATTGGGTTTATACGTTCACTTTAACTAACTTGGTATAAGGCTGTATTCAATCACCATTTCAGACATAAGCTAAATTGAAATATGGCACTCCTGTTTCAGAAGAAGAAAAGCTGTGTACAGACACAGCATGGAAATAACTAAGGGTATAAATTAAAATCCTTTTGGAGAGCTTGTGCAGAGGCGCAGCTAAGTACTCCAGTGCCCTGGGCAGAGCAGAGTGAAGAGTAGGGATGTTGGAGGGGGAGGTGAAGGATGTTTTAAGCAAGTCTTAGCTCACCCAGACACTCAAAGACCCCAGCTGCTGCTACCAGATGTGGGGTCACTGCACCCTGGCTAGAGCAGCTGACCTGGCAGGGGCCCAGAGGTGCTACTGCTTCTGAGCGGACTCCACACACAGTAACGTTAGCAACTGCTGCAGCACAGCTTTCTGCAGTCATTCTAGCACTCCCTCTAAATCTGCCCCTATGCTCTACTTGTACCTCCCTTAGTTATGCTACTCTGGTCACATGTAGTCCAGCTTGCTGTTAAAAGCTGCATTGGTGCTTGGATATTGCTCCCTGCAATTGCAGGTCAAGGTTTAAAATGGCAATTTTGGGGAATCCTTTTGGTTAACAATAGATTGTAAACATAGGGGGCTGAACGCCCCTTGTGGTCCTATGTTTCTATATTTGTCAAGAGGCAAGGATTTTTTGGGGGATGATTTCTTTTATTGGACCAACTGCATAGTTGGGATAGTTAGACAAACTTTTGAATGCAAGACATATCTTTGTCAGCATTCCCTAGGATAAAGGAGGTCAAGTTTCAACAGACCTTCTCTCTCTGCACTATATAAAAAAATATTTTCACATTCTGAATACTGGATATAAATATTAACTATACAGACAATTCCTCCAGTTATACAAATCTAGCATTAAAAGCAATGTACAATTATATTTAGAGAATCATCTCACAGCTGTAGATTGAATCAAATAAAATGAAGTGGAGAGTTTATTGTGATCCTAGCTTATCTAGTTACTTTTAGATATCTCCAGATATCAGTCTTTCTTCATTCTAAGAAGTATTTGTTAACTTCACAATATGCATCAGCAAGGCTGGCACAAATGTCAAGTCTTTGTTCATAAGCGTTTATGTATAATACAGGCAGGATTACATGTCAGGATCAAACTGTATGAGCAAGTTTACATAATGATTGTTTCATTATTCTCGGCTCTAGTCAGCGCTTTTAGTATTTCACTGTATTTCAAGGTCCCTGAAGTTAATTTTATTTGTTCATCACTGAAAAAGCAATTATATACCCCAGTCATCATCACCACCAAGGGTTAAAACAAAGCCTCTCACCTGTTCATTCATGACTAGAGAGAGCTCACTGAGCATATCCTTATAATGAGACTTCAGTTCTTCCTGGTATTCTAACTGATCATCTTTAATAAGACGTTCGTTAACTTCAAGAGCATGCCCGCATGCTTCTGCAAACTGCCTGTAAACACATACATGAAAACATTTCTATGAAAAAAAAGTTTTGTGAAAAAATAGTATGCAGCTTAACCAATTGTTATAAACCATGAGGGGCAAATCATAGAGCTTTGCTGTAAATCAGTAGGGCCACTCAGGTTAATGTGACTGTCTCAGAATTCAGTAGTTTTGCCTAAGAAGAAAGATAAAAGATGTGGCTTTGTAGGCATACTTTGGTTCATGTCAGAAATGCTGTCTGATTTAATGTCATATCCCTTTCTTTTTCTCATCAGCTTGCATTAGCCAAAGAAGAAAGAGTCTAACTTTAAAGTTTACCTGAAGATTTCTTTCAGGAGTTTGACTTGGTTATCAGGATACTTCTTAGCATTTGTTTCTTCAAGGAAAGCTCGAGCATATGCCATTGGTCCTGCATTGATCTGTAGAAGAAAAAAATCGAGATTAGGGTACAGAAGAACATAGCTGGACTGTGGTTTATAACACTCTTTCTTTTTAAGGCTCATGTTCATTTTTTCTGACAGTGTGTGGAACCACAGTGTTTCCTAACTGATCTCACAGATTAAAGAACAAGGGGTTTTGTTCCTCATTTTATATTCTAAAAATCTGCACAGCACAAAGCAGGATCAGAGGGTGGCAGGGAGGGGGAGCAGGGGAGGGTGTATGTCTACAACATTAGACTGTGGGTCAGATCCCTGGCTGGTTTAAATTGGAAAGTTCTGTTGAAAAGAAGAATGCTGTAGTGATTTTAAAGTTGCTGAAGACTGAAACCTGTGTTTGAATCTCACTGGCTAGATGACTCTTGCGGAATGCTTCATATTCAAAGAGTGAGAGGATTTTGACAAACATAAAAGGGAAATGTTTCACTATTGCTAAACACACTACTCTCTTCACTCCTAGCTTCTCTACGTAATTGTCTATTAAGAAATATTTGAGTACTCATCTAAGTGGTTGGCTTTAGGTTCATCTGACCCAAAATATCCAGGTTAGAAAGAGCTTAAAATTTATCAGGAGAGACAGTTACAGCTGCCTTGCCAGGCATCAATCCAACACCCAATGAGGTCAATGTGAATCTCTCTATTGTGTCCAACAGGTATTGGAACAGGCTGCAAAAGTTTTGGTGTGCAGTGCATTGCAGGTTTGGAACTGTAAAACAGGTTAAATCAGCCTTTTAAGCTCTAAAGAGCGAGTACTAGCATAATTGAGCTGCTGTTACCTTTACACTGACACTTCCTTGAAGCTTGAGTTGAAGTCTAATCATGTCCACTTCTTCCATTGTGCAAAGCTGATTAAGTTCTGAAACTTTTTTGGACATCTCATCAATCGCTACTTCAATAGGGTTTAGTTCTGTGCTTGTTTGGCTTATAACTTGAATGCGCTTCTTCACATAAGGGAATAAGTGACTGGCTGCTCAAAAACAAATGTAAAACATTCAGAGAAATCCCTCCCCCACAAACTGCTAATTAAAGAGGCAGAAGTAGTGAGTCCAGGGTGTTTCAGGCCACCTTGACTATTTCATTTTACAAATCCCTTTGCTGACCCAAGTAAACTGACACATCTAATCACCAAATATATACCGTGAGTCCAAACAGAATTTGTGATGCAATCGTTATTAATAAATCACTCTATTTTGAATCATAGCACTGTTCATTGTGTAGTTTTCACATCCTTATAGTGTAAGACTCTACACTTTAAGATTTTGAAATTCACACATTTCTGTGCTGCGTTAAGGCCCTCATCAGTTCACAAGCCTATGTTTAACTTGGAGTACCTCCATAGACCCACTGAATTCAATCAGGATGCACCCATGGTGGAGGCATGTGCCTTAATGCTTGTTGAACTGATGCCTCATTCTCCTACAAAGCCTAATTTTACCATAGCAGATATGTCAAATTCAGAAGTCATTTCTATTGTTCAACAAAAAGTCATGTTCCCTAGGGAGAACTGACAGAGAAGACAGTCATCATTGAATCTGCTTCTTCACAGCTCAGCCACCAAAGCAATTTTGTAATTTTGCCTCCTGTACCTTGGCAGAAACAGTTGCCACCTGTGCCCGTTCTACTTAACTTATGTGATGGCTGCCATGTTGGCCAACATACTGCAGATGGAACAAGGGATCTATCAAGCTAGAAGCCTGAAAATGCATGCTTCTCTCTTTGACCTGGTTCCATCCCCAGCCAAGATTTACAGAGCCTATGTTCCTTTTATAGGCTGAAACAGACCCCCAACACTTGAATCAGTGGACTATACTTGCTCTGATTACCCGGCAGTTTTACCTCAGTTTAGAGTGCTTTTGCTACTGCTCTTTTTCATTGCTACACTAGTTTTCTTTTTGTAGCCTCTAGACATTTCATTTTTATAGCTATAACTTATACAAGTGTAAAATCTTATAAAATGCATTATATGGCAAGTACTTGTACACATTGGGTATGTCTACACATTCATGAATGTGCCATAGTCACTGTGCATTAAGTTTAGTACTTGTATAACCAAGTACTAAATCAATGCGCAGTAACTGGAACTACTGTGCAGTAGCGCCAGCACATGGCTTTTTAGTGATTCTAACTGTGCAGTAGCCTAATATTACTGCAGAGTAGTGCATTAGCTTGTTTTTTGCCCTGCACGCTACTGCACAGTAAAAGTAGGCTACTGCACAGTTAGCGTCTCATGTAGACACCCCATTGTTTCCAAGAAAACAAGATGATGCAGTGAATGGATAAAGAGAAATGGATGAAGGTGGGTAGATTGGGGAAAAGGATAATGTTCCTGCCAACAGCAGGGAACTGAGGCTGGCACAGTGCTAACATAGCTATTTCATATAAAAGATGCTATATGTCAAGTATTCTTTTCTCCCTCCACAGGACAAAACTTGAGATGATTTAAGTCAGTGCTGTAAGAGGGTTTCTCAATTTGACCCTTTGGGGAAGTACAGACACTCCAATCAGCAGCGATTTAAATTCTCTGTCGTTCTGTAGCCTTTTCCTTGAATGTCAGCATCTCTGTTCATATCTACCCATGAAAACAAAGCTTCTCAAATGATATTCAGAAATCACTTAGAGATGCAGCTAAAATTTCAGCTATGTCAATTTTCTGTAGTCATATCATGGATCCTCTATGACTTTTCTTTAAGAAGAGAATTTAATCATGATAAAGAGCTAACCATTTAGCATCTCAGTTTAATTCAACAGGAATTGACACTTCCAATGCTTTTTCCTTTCCTTAAACAGGAATTTTGGAATGTATCTGATTGCTTGAAATAAAGATACTATCTTACTTTTTAAAAGACTAATATATGTGTTATATGAGAATTTGTTAAAAATTGGAATATTTGCTATGATTCATTTTTCTTAATGGGTAAATCTTACAAGCCCTACATTTGCTGTCTTTAGGCTGCTTCTACTATGAAGAAAAATGAATGAGAGTTTAGAACTCATTAAACTGGTATAAATCAGGAGCAATCCTAATGAAGCCAACTTAATTACACCATTGTAAAGCTGGGGTGACAGGAGAATACTAAGAAAGAATAGAGGCAGTTGACTATTCTACAAATTTAAACAACTTTTGTTTTTGTACTGAATTGTAACTAGTTTATGTCAAAAGGATTATACACAGAAATAATGATACGGTGAAGTGGCTGTTGCTCATTTAAAACTACACTTTGCACAAAATTGTTGGCAAACAAATATATTGACTGCCATACTGATTTTTAAGCAGAACGGTCTTTGAAATTCTTAGCAGTTTCATTTAGTCAGAACTCTTCAAAGAAAAAAGGCAGCAACGTACTTGTCAAGATTGTCCGTCTTTTGCATTGCTCCTCTACCCCTCCGTGTTTTTTTCCTGACAGTGTGAAAGGTGTTTCAAACACAAAACGGTTGATATTGTGATGCATTTCAAAGTCAGTTTTTCTGTCCTCAGCTTCCTTCTCTTCAAAGAAAGGTGTAACATATGTGACCTGGATATAGGCATATTTTGGATCCAAGTCTTTGGGATTGACCTGTGTTAAAATTGTTATATGTAAGGAAACTTTCTCTGACTCTGTTGCATTGCAAATTATACAGTGAGCAATCACAGTTTACAGGCATACTCTTTTATAATATTATAACACTATGATCAACCCAGGACATGATTTTCAAAAGTACTATTAGGTAACAAATACTTAAATATCTAAGTATGGGGTTTGATTTTCAAAGACAACAAGAGTTCTGAGTACACAATGATGGCAAAAATTGGATGAGGGATAAATGAAGCCAAATTTTCCTTTATACTAGTAGAATATATTTGTGGGCTGGGTATTGTTAAAAATGGTTACACAGAGGGATGTTCTACTTCCATTGTCATTGTACAGGAAAACCATACCTTATAATTTGGCTTGGTTTTGTTAGAAACTAGCCTATAACAGAGAGCCTGAGTCTCCCTGTTCCTTTAAAAGAACCAGCCCAGCGAGGGAGCACTGCAGGCTAAGCAGGGTGCAGCAGCTGCAGGTCATTGAGGTTGATTAAAAGGCACCTGCAGGCAGCCCAAGCAGTCTGCTGACCAGAAGGAGGCAGGCCCCTGGGAGGATATACGCCTGAGGGCTCAGGCTAGCAGGATAGTCTCTCCCTGGCTGCCAGAGGGTAAAGAGCTCCTAGCAGCAGGGATCCTGAAGGGACTACGGTGCTGCTTCTGGATCTCCGATGAGGCTACAGGAGCTCGCTAGGATATAGCTTTCCATGAGGGAAAATTCACCCTCTTAAAGAAGCAGAAGGCTATTTCCCCTTTGTGTTTCTGTTATAGTCCAGAGGCTTATGTTTAACCAGAGTTAGTGTTTCAAAGCCAGGTCCAATACAGTGGGTTCAGTCTAGAAGGCATAGCTGAGAGGAAAGGGGCGGCAGTCAAGGAGGCTGTGCCAGCGAGATGCCCCCACAGGCTCCCGAAGGGGAGGGGGCAGTCCCCACAGGCCCCAAGCCACACAAGCAGCCCCCTCCACCAGTGCAACTCACCTCCAGGGGCACAGCCGGAGTCAGAGCAGGAGCCACGGCCACGCGAGCCAGCTGATTAATCAGCTGTTCTCTGGGCGGGGAAAAGCTGAACCAATCATGGAGGCCATTCTGGCCACCATGGGAAGATTTAAAAGCCCCACCAGGACGTAGGGGGAGGAGGGTGAGGGAGCACACTGGCATGGAGCATGCCAGGTGCGCTGAGGCTCTTGTGGGAGCAGGAGCAGTGCAGCCAGCTCGGTGCCAGCACCCAGAGCAGGCGAAGCTGAGCCCCTGTAGTAGGCTGGGGGGAGAAGGCAGTCCCACACCAGCTCTCCTCTCCAGCGGTCTATTTTTTTTTTGGCAAAGAGCAAAGTAGAGGTGTTCCATCCAGAGGCGGCAAGGAGTACGCCAGTCTACAGAAGCCCAGCTCATCAGCATCTGAGGTGGAGACACTAGCTGTCAGGACAGCCAGGCTATCCCACCAGGACCCACGCCGACACTGGTTCCCCTGGCAAAAAGGGTTGAATGAGCATGGTCAAACCATGCAGGTGGCATCCATCCGGTTGGCGAGTGGATGAGGAGTAGGGGAGGCAGAGCCCCGTGGAACATCGCGACCAGACAGTGAGTACTACCATCCTTGGGGTCCCCCAGAAAGAAGATCTCCACTGAACCCCTTCCTTTCATTGAATAACACCAAGTTATGGCAGGAGAGTTGAGGGGGCGGAGGGGCTCACACCGCATGGAAAGTACATCACCCAACACAAACCCCACCTAAGACGCCTTCTATCACAGAGGCCAAAACCCAACAAGTGAACAACAATATGGTAACACCTGTGAGGATTGGGGCATAGTTTAGGAGAGGACTGGAGCCACACAATTAGCCCCTAAGGCTTTATGTGCCTAGCAGGTCACAGTCAACTAGAGAGGCCCAACGAGGGGCCTTGGAACTTCAGTGGGAGTCCAGTTGGATTGGGGCCATGTGAAGGCCTGTGGGCAGCCTCCCCATTATCATTATTATATTATACCATCAAGGCGTGGCAGGAAGGAAGGGAAGGCACTCTAGGGGTAGAGCAGGGCATGGTCATGGAGCCACCAGGGGGCATCCCAGCCACCCCTGGGACCCTGACATGCTACATAGTCCACAGTAGTTCCAGCCTCTGCTCACATCTATTAGAGGCTCATTCTAGATAATATAAATGCTATCACAACTCACTTAGAAAAGAACACCAATATACTGCATAATAAAAGTCCACAATACACACTTATATTTCAGCTTAAGGTTAAAAGGAGAACAGGGACAAACTACGGGTTCTGTAGACCTATCTAATCTGTGAAGGCACTATGCTAGAAAGTGAAATGTGGCATACTTTCAAGTGCTCTACTTTGACATGAATGTAATGACAACATTTCTTCCATACCTTATTGGAATCCTGAATTATTTTCACATTATCTGCTCCAAATTTATCAGCGTAAAGTTTCAATAGTCTCTGAGAAATCTCAGACAGGCCAGTTAACTTGGGTTCTTTGTAGATATACTCTTTGCCTTCCTCTTCTTCAAAAAAGCCCTGTAGAAAATCAAGAGGAAACAATTAATCAGTGTAGCAGGTATGGTAAATTAAATGTAAACAGTAAACAACACATATAGACATACCCGTGTAATGCATCTAACTGTTTAAATGCAGAACTCATTGATTATTTTTCTGACTACTACACTATGAGACTGATGAAGGAATCCAAAATATCAAATGCATTCCATATTAGAGATATAATTAATTAAATTTTTAATTAGCTTGATACAGCTATTTGTGAAATATGACAGTTATTAGTTTTTGACTTGTTTGCCTGCATTTATTTAAATATGTGAAGAGAGTGCCATCGTGTGGTACATACTAGGTATAATTTGCAGATGACTGCAAAATAGTGGTAGTTTTTGCATTCACATGAAAAACTGTTATCATTCAGCCCAAGTCCTTCAAGCAACCTGAGCAGAAGATTGTAGAGCAACTTCAAATAAACTGATCTGTATCTCATTCAAATAAACAGAATATTCTTCAATAACTTTGAAAGCCAATAATAAATTGCAGTATCTTTAAAGACAATGTAGTATCTTGTACCATCTATACTTTTTCCCAGAGCCTGATGAAGGGACTTTGATCCTGAAAGCTTGCAGAAAAGGACACTTTTCTTGTGGTTTCCCAGTTGGCCTAATAAAAGGTATCATTTTGGAACCAAGAGTTCTAGTTTTTGTATGTAACATAATTTACATTTGAAAAGATGGAAAAGCATAAACTATAGTTTTTTACAAGATCTACAGTTTTAGCAAAGCCATTTACTTGCAATAGTGGAAGTAACTGAGAGTGTCTAAATAAAAATGTTTGTTAAAATGTGAGGCAAGTTTCCACCTGGCAGTTTCCATAAGAAATGTAAATCTCAGAAAATGAACGTATACAATACATCAACTTCATGTGAAACAAACACAAATGCAATATGTAATTATGCAAACATTTTGGGGTAAATTTTTATGGCTGAATGGAACATATCACTATTAACAGTAACGGGACTTTACCTCTGACAATATTTACATTTCTGGGTTTCATTTGCAGGATTTCATACCCTTTTGATAGAACTTGATGATGCAAATACTGAAGCTATAGCTCCCAAATGTCCCCTTTTCATTAATGAAGAACACACAACTAGTTACTGAGTCTCACTGATCTTCCTAGAGAGCACTCTTGTTAATAATATTAATAAAGTTCCATTGCCAAACAAGAAACTTTACAGACAAATTGAAGTCAAATTTATGTCTCAAAAGTGAATATCTTGTAAACTCTTACTTGGATGAGCAATTAATTGTGTGAAAGGATTTGCAGAATCATAAACTAATTTCTAAACTCTCTCTAAATTATCCTAATGCAAAACCACTTTGGGGGAACAGAGGCAAAAGTTCCTATAGTTCTACACAACCTCAACTAAACACTAATCAGGATTGTTTCAATCAAAACCATCTGCCTTATGTAAACATTGAATTTTGAAAAGATATAGTCTCTTAAATAATTTTGCTCTGAACTGGGACAGCATATCAGCTTAGATGTCAGCATTATACATTTTTGCTAGCAAGAGCATAGTGTTTACATGGGAAGTGTTAGCTTTCTGTGTTGATGCAGTTGACAAATTGAAATGATATCTTTCATCTTACCAAATTGATTAACATAGAAGTGATACATTTTCAATAGTCTTTAATGAAGGAGGCATTACTTGAAAGAATGGTCTCTGTGGCATTTCAAATGATAAGTGACAAGTAGTAGTTAATTGAAAGCTACATAATAATCCTGTCTGCCATATGTCAGATATTTAAAAGATCATTAAGCATTAGATAAAATATTTTTGGGGGTCAAATATCCTTGAGTTTAGGGATTTTAAAATATTAAGCAGCTCAGGTCTCATTCTCAATGCACAGCAATAGTTTGCTCTCCTGTTGCCTATGACTGGTTTACAAGAAGGGTGTAGGCTTAGGGATGAAAAACACTGCAGTGATCTGTAGAATGTAACGACATATACAGGCACTCTCAGCATGTTAGTGTACTGGTTTCCAGCAAAACCTCATTCATTTAGGATCAGATTTTAACTGACCTTAGAATGTCTGTGCAGTGCAGGAAAAGCTCACGGAGCTTCTCTTTCCTCATACACTTCTGCAAGGAAGAGTTACAGTTGCAGGGAATGCGGGACTACTCCCCTCTTCGTTTTCCTGGGGAAGCCCATTGTTCCAGAGGACCTGGGCTGTGGTGGATCATGGCCCAGCTTCTGTTGTGTACTGGCCTGTGAAACAGCCCATGTGGACCAAAAACATCTGGCTGCATTTCTAAATTTGGCTGGATTAAATGGTTGAAGTATCCCTATGGACTATGGCATCAGCCAGATTTTCAGGAGCAGAGGCACTCTGACAAGGCCCCAGCATGACCACTGCAGTTGGGGGGATAGAAATGGTCTGATCCTACCAGATGCTGAGTGTCATCTGAAAGATGCCAAGTGCCCTCATGTCCCACTGGCCTCCAGAGTGCAAAATTACTCTCTGAATACGTTCAGGTTGTGGTTTCAAAGGAGAATCAGATATCTTCCACTCAAATATTCTCCTGGCTCTGCTCCAAGCCCATGTGACTTTGGCAAACTCGCTTTGCCTCCATTCCACCTCGTACTTTCTATCTTATCTATTTAGAGTATAGACCCTTTTGAGGAGATTCATGGGTGTCTGTATAGTACTGAGCCCAGTGGAACTTAGACTCTGATTGGAGAGTGTAGGCAACACATGTAAGCATATAATGGTAATAGCCAACACTGCATATTGATCTCCCAGATAAACATGGTTTTAAGAAGTGAATACTACCCTGAAGCCTGGCAAGAAACAATATTAATGTAATTTTCCTTCTCTGAGGTTCAGATTTTGACTTTTCCTTTGAGATGATATAGGCTGCTTTGCTCATTATATATCCAGGCCATGCTACAGGGCATCTCATTTGTTTTAGGACACATAGTAGGAACATTCCCTGTGCTAGCTTGATTGTGACTGGAGCTTGTGTGGGTCTCATGAAATTTATAATGCCCTTCTAAGCTGTTCACACATGTAGGGGCCAAAAATAATCTAAATCCACACTCTCTAACAGCTGTATGTAATTGTTGTTGTACTGCATAATTCAGACAGCATAATTCTGCCTTTCTTTTTAAAAGTGAATGAACAGAATGGAATTTAAAATGGATTTACTGAGCAGTATAAAGATACTGGGTCTGGGATATCTCTGTTAAATAATTCACCAAACCATTACAGAGTCTGCAGCCAAATGACTAGTATCTATGGGGGGTTACTGGTAAATAATCCTAGTAAGTATTGAACCAGGTCTAAGAAAAGAGCAAGAAAATCCCTCTATGCATCTATAATACAGTCATTACCAAGATTTGGAGGAGCCAGGCACTTAAGTCATTTAAAACAGGTTTGATAGAATGAAGCTTTCCTTCCCACCTTTGACTTCATCACTTGCCCCAGTAACAGAAATTGCTAGTATATTTTTTGTTTCCTTCAAAAAATATTAACAGACATAAGGAGTCTGACAGATGCCTTGGCACTGGCAAGGCTTGGCATCTAACCCCCACAAGGAGTTAGACCTTGGATTCTATCAGCTTCAGTTTCCTCACTTCAGCAGTCTGTCAAAACAAGTGCTGGAGGAGGAGACAATCTTCAAGATCTTAGCTGGAAAGTAGTACAAGCTTTGAGAAGCAGCATCCTGCAGCAACTTTTGTGCACGTCAGCCTGCACATGACAAAGCACCAGTGCAGACTGGAAACTGCAGAGAAATTGTCAGCTGCGCTGGACTTGCAGAACGCCATACAGAATCTTGGCCTGTGCATGAAGAACTGGGGATGGTCAGGTCCAACTCCAGATTTTTCTCCTTGAGAATGGGTAGATTTGGAAAGTTTGTGGATGAATATAAGAGGACTGTGCCAGTGAGAAGACCAACATGTATAATATAGGATCATAGGAAAGTAAGACTGGAAGGGACTTCATGAGATTATCCAGTTCAGCCCCGACTCAAAACAGAATCATCCCTGACTAAACCATCTGAGCCACATAACTGTCTAAACTGCTTCTGAAAATTTCCAAGGATGGAGATTACACAATACTTTAGGTAGTCACTGCAGCATGTATGCAAGAATGCACATGCAACTGCATAGCTTGGGGTGTTTTGGCTACTTTCTCAAGATAGCATGTGTTTTAGATAAGAAACACACAAGTTGGGTGCACTATGCTACTTCTACTTGCATGAATAGTCAAATAACTTTTCAAAAGTGCAGAAATATTATGAAAAATACTTAACTGCTTACTGCTGACTTGTACTCTACTTTAGCTCAGAACTGAGAGATTTCCCTAAGTTTCAGCTGATCCAAATATTTATGCTTTTTTGAAAATTGATTTTTCACAGCAATCCTTGTTGGGACTATTTCTTCAAATGGCTAACCCACAGTCGCCTTTTTGCCCAGTATTTTTGAGGTTGGGTGCCTCAGGCTTGGCACCAAGCCAAATTATTTAGGTGCAGATACTCAACACATTGGGAAAATCAGACCACTTTTACTTGGAAAAAGTGTACAAATATGGGTTTAAAAAGATTGGACTTGGTAGCATTCAGATATTAAGGGTCTGAGTCTGTGTCTAAAGCATAAAAAGGAACTGTTTATAAATTAACTTAATGTCATAGCTTCCTTTCCCTATGAAGGTCTGCAAGTACTTTTGGCAGAAAATAAATTAAAAAAAAAATCACAGGCCTCTATGGTATATAATAAAAATGGAAGTTTTTATATAATAAAAATGGAAGTATGCGGGAGAAAAGGGACTGAGAGTATAACGCAAAGTATATTTTTAGATGGGAAAGAACACTGGCAAAATTAATGGAAATAGATTGTTGTTTCTCCTTTTAAACCAGGCCTTACCAAGAATTTCTTAGGGTACAATTGTTAACATGGTGCTTTGAATATTTGTAGACATTTTGTATTCAATGACGTTCCTTAGCCTCTCAGTGATTCATTTTGGATTTTCTTAGGTGAGTGACACCTTTCCATTGGGACTTTTGTTTTTGTGTACCTACCTTTAATTATCTCATCACTGTCACTGTTGGCAGCAGTTCAGGCCAACTCCTACCCCACAATCCGAAACATCTTAATTTTCAAACTGTGAAACTAAACATCATTCTTTAAAGCCACAAGTCTTGTCTGTGTGTGCGTGTGTTTAGACTCTATTAAGGGTGTACCAGTGATTAATCCAAGCAATATTTGTTTGTGAAACATTCATACACTTTTATAGCACTAAGGCTGTTTAAGAAAGGCTGCCTTTGTTATATTTGCTACAGAAATACCATTGCATTGAAATGGGGCTTTTAATTCTGTCTGACAGAGCTAGTGAAACTCAGCTTAACCACTGTTTAGCTCCTTATAGCTCAGCCTTAGAGAAAAGTAGATGCATTTGCCCTGGGAAAAGAGTCACAATTCCTACCCTGCTCCCATCTTTCTTATGGGAAGGCAGGACATAGTAAGAGAACTTCAGTCTGCTTTCAGGTTCATCTTACTTTCCCTCTTGCATGCAGCCATTTCAGTTTTGTTGAGGAGTCAGACCTTGGTCCTTCCCCCTCACTTCCCATTCATTTGCCTCCCCCAGGGGGTGTTGGGCCAGAAGCCCTGCTCTCCTCATGCTGTCTCAGGAGGTCCCATGTTGCTGAAGAGATAACTTGGGGCCTTACTCCCTTGCACAAACCTAGGGCATAATCTTGCACTTAAAACAGCATTGGTGCTACAGTGACATTTCAACAGAAGAAACAAGGGGCCCAATCCTGCTCCCAATGAAGTCCTCAGGCAGAGGATTGGGCCCCAATTTATATATGCAGCAGGGTGATGGATACACTGTTTTAACTCAGGGAGACTAAACAAACAGAAATTAGTCTGCAAGATGCAGTGATGCATGAATGTTATTTCATCTGCCACAAAACTGAACAGTGAAGAGCACAAAAAGTTAACATCAAGTAAACCGTGGGGAAGGAGTAAGGATGAGTGAGAAGAATAAAACAAAGCATGCAAAAGAACAGAGAACTTACCACAGCCTTGAATAAGATCAAAAGAAGAAAAGAGCACATTTCTGCATTAACATCTAATTAGCAAACAGAATGAGTCATATCAATCTGTTGTTTACACACCTTATTATAACAGAGAGATGGCAATTGTACGCTTGCCAAACATGTCTTAAAAGAACATGCGGGCATCCCACAATCGCTTGCAGTGGGAAAAAAGCATAAATTCATGCTATAGGGGTTGCTTTAAACATGCTGAAGCATAGTATATGGAATAAAACTACTGTACAGTATACTGCATAGAATCAGAGGTTGACAGAAAGCAAGTCAGAAAGTCAGCAAGAAATGCAACAACTAGCTGAATGTATTGCTCTGATTTATACTACTTACAAAGATGGGCCAAACACCATTTCTTTTCAGGTTTTATTAATATTTTACTCACATAGCACTTCACTGATTTTGACTTCAAGGTCAGTTTTTCCTGAGTAAGGCACGTAAAAAACTGAGGTGCTAGTTCTGTTCCCAATTACAGGCATATAAATTTACAGCAACAATTTACACAGATTCAGCTGAATGCGCTCTTTAGTAATGACTTCAGTATTTGGCCAATGCTGTTCCTAATGAGCTGTCCATTATACTGCTTTTCCCATCTTAGATTTCTAAGAAATGTGTGTCCAGAATGACATGGGTGTCGTATGTGACTCTTCATCTATAAACTCTTTAAGGCTGACTTACCTGTCCATAAAATGCCACACGGTAATATCTTCCAAACAAACGTTTCTCAGAATTCACTACTTCTGTGACCTTCAGGTAGGATCGATGAATGTCATAGTACAGTTCTGAAAGTTTCTATGGCAAAAGGATGAGAGAGAATACTTTGGAAAGTGCTTTTGGAAAGGCTTTTTAAGATCAAATGCTCCCCAGGGACTAAAGCCATCTGCAGATGGGCATTTATTCCATGGGAATCTTCAGTATCATTAGAAGCTATATTCTGACGTAACTTCTTCCGATGTCATTGTCAAAGCTGTTGCCTTCTTGTGGAATCAGTTTTGGGGCAAATGTAGATCTCTTGCATAGCTATACAGTGAAAGTGGAATAGTAAGAGTTTAGCTCCGTCTAAAAAGTTGCTTGGTTAGCGGTTTTCCCAACCATGTCCAGGGTGCTGACAGACTGAAAGTGCTCTCCAGCTATGTACTGACAGAGGTACACAGTGGCAGAAAGCTTTAAAAATGCCTGATCTTGAAACAATCTGAACCCTCAGTGTATGAGAGTTCAGATGAAAGCACTACAAAGCAGAGTACCTTCATTAACATCTGTCAGCGTGGCCAGGACCGGGGTTGGGCTGACCAGCCCAGCGCTTCTCTGTGCGCTGTTGTTAGGATTGGATGGGGGAGAATGGAGCAAAGTGAGTTCAGTCTTTGGGTTCCCCAGCCAGTGCTGGAAGGTGGTGCAGGTAGTTTGGTACCTCCCCACTCCCTCCCTGAGGTGGGGACTCCAATCCACCCCTCTCGCCCTCCAGACTGAACTTACTCTCCTCCCCTCCCCATCTCCCATCCTGAGAAAGCATGGGAGCTTGGAGAGGGGAGTGGAGTTAGGGAACAGACAGTGCAGACATGCAGCCTATCTCCCCTGACCAGCTCCAAAGGGGAGCTGGATCCCACGCCCTCCTGATCCAACAGCAAATATGTGTTGGATTAGGAGGGTTGGTCTAACTCATGCTGCTTTCTGTTAAGCATCATGAGTTAGTCCAGGGAGCTGCACACCCATCAGCACCAACAATGTCTACCAATCCTAAAAGGATAGTGACAGTGTTACTCGGGGTTAGGGACCATGATTAAGAACACATTCTCTGAGGCAAAGAACCTATGGGGCAAAAGCAGCTGTATAATATTTTTGTACCAAATTGTTCCTGGACTCATGGCAGTTCTGTCCCCATACAGTGCTGCAAACCAGCATCAGTCCATCAGTATTTTGCCTGCATGGAGACATTACTTCTTTGGCCATTTAGCTTTTCTATAACATTGTGATAATGCTTTAAACCTCCCAGAAAAGCTATGTTTTATTTTGGGACCCAGATTCTTAAATTGTGTACCATTCTGCGTGACATTTTCCAGTTTACAGCAGAATGATGTTCATTATGAGTACTTAACCTCCAGCTCGCGGGGGTCTGAAAATCTGACGGTTGGGGAGCAATGGCAGCATTAATTGCTGCTCCTCTTTTCCTAGATTTCTGGACTTGGGGGAGTCTGATAGGTGGATAATGGGTGACAGTGCACAGTCAGATCCATGTGGAGGGGTCAGGTCAGCACACACCTGCATCTGGTGTGTCAGGTCAGGCCAGTGTTCCCAGATGCAACACACAAGATCACACCTGCTGACCACGGTCAGACACTGATGCTGTGTGATCCAGCTTGTGGACTGACTCTATACCATTTATCCAGCTCACAGGGCTGAAAGGTTGGGCACTAGTGACATAATTCATTATTAAGGTCATTTTTATACCATAAATGAAAGGAAAAATCAAATAAAAAAATCTGTAGAGTAATTTTGAAATGAAATCCTTAATCTTATATATTTCTAAGCTGCTTTTATTTTTATGTACATTTAATTTCTAAAAATGTACTTTCTGATGAATACATGCAGTAGGTTCTAACTGGTTGGTCACGAGTTACAAAATGAAGATTCAAAGAAGTATGTAACACTGGACATAGGCTAAAGCCTCTAAATAAATCCTGGCTAAAATGTTGATGCAACTTTTTTAGGCAGCAATAGTGTGGTTTTCACAAGCTTTGCAGTGTCATGTGCTTCTAGTGCTGGTGAGAGAAGCAGGATTTGAAATCAAAGTTTTCCATTGATTCATAGCTCAGGTAAAGCACTGGCATTTGTTATGCAAATCTCTACAGTCTGTCTCAGCCTGACCTTGTGAGATCCCATGTATGGGATAAAGAGTAATTGCTTTTGCTATATCCATTTGATCTTTCCCCTGACCCGCAGGGCACCTGGTTAGGTCTTAATCCTACAACAAACTCTCCATAGGCCAACCCACATTTGAGCTCATTGCAGATGTGGGCCTGTGATCTGGACACAAATCCATATTGACCTGAACTTAGGCCACTAAGCAAATTTCATGTAGGCAACAGCATTTCATTCAGAGCTACAGAAGCCATGGAAAATATATTTGTGCACAAGTATTAGAGAAGGTAGCTTTAATTCCATTATTAAAAGAAGCAAAACCTGACAAAATTAAAACATAGTCTATGGATGTTCTACTAATGGCAAATGCTAAAGTATGGGTTTTTTCTTTAAAAAAGAAATTTTAATTTTTAAAATCAGCTTACTTTAAAGTTTCTTTGCTTCTCAAACACAGCAATGATAGGCTTGTTAACCTCCGCAATGAGTTCATATCTTTCAGACTTCCACAGGTATTCTACACATAACTCCAGCTGCTCCACAAGGATGCCCTGTAACCATGCAAATAAAAATTCCCTGGTGCATTCTTTTAGTTTGATATGATTTTATTTTAGTACTGCCATACAAAGTTTGACAAGATCTTAATGAAAAACATTAGGCAGCTTTTGCAATCACATGTAGCTAAATATAAAGACTTAAAATGATAATAATATAAACTGCAGTGTTAAAAAAATCCACAAATATTAAAAGATTCAGAAAATTACCAGGTAGCACACATCTGCAGCCCTTCTGCCTATCACTATATGCCTTCAAACTACCATAAGTTAAGTAGCATCAGGCTGGTTTAGTAACTACTTGGACCTTTGAAACAATATTGGAATGGTACAAGAAATGACGCTGGTGATCCATTGAGAAGCGTCCATTTGTGACAGTGACTGAGAGAGAAAATACAGGTCCTAACCCTTTGTGGAGAAGAAGAGGAGGAACTTCTTTGTACTTCTTTCAGGGATGTTTAAAACAAGGCTTCCTGGCCAGAATACTTAAAAATTACATCTTAGATGCTTCTGTGGTGTTACTGCATGCTACTAAATGACTGCTGTATTTTACCTGATGTGGGTCAGCAGGTATAGTACTGAAGAGCAAAGTGGTCCCTTGATATAGAAGAACAAATTTATAATGTGCACAAGTATCCTTTGGAAATAAAAGCTTGCTGTAATTGCAGAACATTATTATGTAAATGACATCAGAGCTGACCTCATTGTATGGGGTATCTTGCATTCCAGAGTCTTCCTTCATAGCTCCTTCTTCTTTGATGTTTGGGGTTATGTTTAGGAAAGCTGACCATCCCATGGAAAATAAGCCTTGAAGTATAAGTAATAATAACACTAATTAACATGTCCATAGCCATAGATTTTAAAAGGTATATCTCACAATTGTTAAAGAGGAGCTATTTTTATTCAGCTAGGAGATTCGTGGCCAACTTTTTGGCAGGCATGCCACAGGTTGGGGGACACAATTAGTACATAACCCAATGGTTTGCAATGAGCTTTCTTACACTGTTATACATCACAATGGGTAAGATTTACAGATTCTGCCTCCTAGGCTAGAAATAGATGCCACCAAATGAAGTGGATCAGCTGTGCCAGGATGTATAGGATGTACTTCTTGTGGCACTGGGTGGAACACACATTGCCCATTGTTCTGTCCATTGATGCTGTGGGACAGTGGGTTATGTGTTCTCGCGGGATTTGAAGGGCCTGGTCCTGGACAACCCGAGAATTTTCACACAGGATTAGGCCCATCAAGCCCCGGGAATGTCTGATCAGCCTTCCCCACTTACAGAGACCTACCTCTAGGTTCGCTGTGTCTCTGTAAGTGGGAAACCCTGACTCTCAACTTATGGAGATACAGCCTAGAGATCTTAGAGGTGTGTTTCTGTAAATGAGGGAAAGCTAAGCAGGTACTCCCAGAGTTTGAGGGGCCCAATCCTGCATGGGAATTCTGTGGTAGGCAGGATTGGGCACCTCAAGCCTCTGGACCATCTGAAGAGCACAGGCAGCTCCAGGCTTCCAGCACTCTTGTGCCATAAAGTAAACACATGTCCATTGCTACACAGAGGCACAAATTGATACCACCTTCATTGTGGCCACCAATTTGGATCAGGTTATCTTATCCTTTTCAAAATTCCCATTTTTTTTTTTACTCATATCAATATATTGCATGCTGAGGGTTACTACGAAATATGCATGATAAACTAACAGAGATTAGCAGAGAAGTAATACAATTAAAATCATCCTATGTTTTATACCTCTGCTATATTCTAAGTAAAAAAATGTAGAAGGACAATTCAGGTACTGTAGATACTGGGCCTGTCTCTGCCCCTACTAGGACCCACAAGAGCTTTGTCATACATATCAATAAGGGCAGTCCCATAGCCAGACTGCTTCCCCAGTGATGCAACTGATACTTGCAAGCTTCAATTAAAAGACTTTATGAAGATGGTTCTATTTAGCTCAGACTTGCTATAAATCAGACAAGTAACAAAATATTTCCTAATATTAATTGCTTCCTATCAAAATCAAAATCATGCATCATAATTCTTTTCTCTTTTGACAATATATTCTTTCACTATATCAGTTTAAGAGCACTAACTTGGCTTTTCCATTGTGTTATCTGACCCATAAACAGGCATGGTTAGAACACTCACTTCCTCCAGTGTGAGTTGTTAGTAACAGATTACTATCAGAGACTTGAGCATCTTCCAGGAGCATACGTGAAGTGCAAATCTTTTCCATTTTCCAGTAACCTATGGTAGTGTAAGATGTTATTAGTATACTGCTACTGGTACGTGTTAATACATGCACATCTAAAAATGACACAGTAACAAATGAAGCATTCTCTTTTAAAACTAGGAAACTAAACATTCAATTTAACTTGTTTACACAAAATATGTATTTTATTATTGTGGAGTTAAGACAAGAGTTTACTAGTCATACACTGAAACTGTAAACGGTTTTTGAGGAATACAAGAAGTTTTGAGGATAGTTTGAAAAGAATATTGTGACAACAATGAAATATATCAACTATTTGTGTTCAGTTATATCATTTTCTAGATAAATTACTGCCTTTGAAAATGTTTACCTTACCCTTTCTTTTCAGGTATTCTGCAATGAGGGCAGCAATATGGATATAGCACATAGCAGCCTGAAATGAGACCATATGAATATATTCAAGTATAGCATATATTCTGTATCATCAATTTGCTGAGGGTCACAAAGATGCAGCAGCATTATCAGAATGTGGCTTGGAAAAGTTAAGCAAATTTAGCTTGACCATTTCATTAAATAATAGGTCAGATGCTGAAATCCTTATTCATGCAAAACTAGATAATTAAAATAAAGTTTTCCCTAAATATGATTAGAGCAAATATTAAATAAGGACCTTCAAGGTTTGACCTCAAGATAATATGTGTTCATTTTTAAACAAGGTGTCACTGGAGTGATAAGATGGAAGTTCAAATCAGCAATTAAAAACCAATAGAATTTTTGCCAAAAAAATGGATTTTGTGATGACCCAGTGCTAGAAAAGCTATGAAAAATAGTAGAAATTCCACAGCCTTGTCTACCATAAGAAGTTATTTCAAAATTTATTTTAGCACCCTAATTAGCTGACCATGACTTTGTGGTCAATGTAGACATGAGCAAATCAGCTAGTTAAGTCCAGGTGCATAGATTCAAATACAAAATACCCAGGCATTCATATAATTTATTTCAGACACATGAGAGGGAATGCATGCTTCTCTTTTACCACCAAACCATTAATAATTTTAACTTGTATATAGCACTTGTTCATCAATAGGTTCCAGTCTAAATACAAATAAATTCTAAGTTTATGTAAAATTACCTCTGACAAATCTCCATTTCTAACATGAATCTTGGCCATGCTTTCAAGCCAAGTCCTACGCAATTCAGGTGTGCTGGCATAGGAGTTTGCTAAGCTGTACTGCAGATCCACAAGCATCTCTGGATCCTTCTCATGTTCCTTCATCTGAGCTGTCGCCATTAAAACTGTCCTGATGCGTTTGGTCAGGTCCTTTACTTCTGCTGGGAAGTTACTGTTCTTTGGAAAAATATGAACAATCAATCTTTTACCTTTTCAGTAAAAGGTTCAATCAGCTATACTTTTCTCACGCAAACTCAGAGTATCACCCATGAATGGGCCAAACTCTAGTCTATATATTCTGGTACTAGTTGCAACACTGCAACATGGAATAACTCTATTGAAGTCTGAAGCAGACTTATGCTAGTGTACCTGAAATGAAATCTGACCCTTTGCTTCTAAAGGGTTGGTAATTTAGGCTTAGATTCTGAACCACTTAGAAATGCTGAATAATCTTTATTGCACATGAAGCCTTATTAATTTTCAGTAGACAAGTACCACTCAATGTCTTCAGAAGTCCTTACCCCATTAAAATCACACTGGTAAAAAACACAGCCCTCATATTAACCCCATCAAAAAGTATTTCTTGAAAATACTTAAGTCAGTTTTCCTGTTTTTCATATAGAGCTGGTCATGAATACGTCCTCCTTTTTAGGGGTTTTGTGGCTACTGCTGCTTTTGCACAGGTATAGAGAGAAACCATACAGAACAGTAAAATTCTGGCTTCCTTTTGGCTGACTGTTGAGAATGCTGCAAAAGTTGAATCTATGGTTGCTATGTCAGCACATCAAAGAAAATCACTGCTATACTTTAAAAAAAAAACAGATAGGACTTCATCATTCTTGCACTAATTTTGCACCAATGCTTCTATTAACTTCAGTGGACTTACTACTGACTTACACCTCTGTCAGTGAAAGCAGAATCAGCTCCAAAGTAAAAACCTTAAAATGCTTCTTGAAAAGCATTTGATATGAACCTCTAAAAAATACCCATGAGGGGCTTTCAAACAGTTACAAGTCTGTTAATATATTCAGTAAAGGTACTCCAATTACTTATTAAATAATCCTTATTGGCAGTTAAGCTCCCCGTTTTAGGCTAGCACACTGTTCACAAATCAGTTTACATTTCTATGAGTATATTTGTTATATAACTATATTCTGAACCATGTGGATGAACCATTTTTTGCTTAAATATTTTTTGTCAACTATGATTTTGACTACTTATGATGTCTTATTAGTCCCATTCCGTGATTTTTATTCTGTGACTGGATGAGTGGAATATTCTCAAAAGGAGAACAAAAAGTAATGAATAACATAGGATATAATTTTCCAATAAATTAATTCATGCTGAATTATTAAGCTTTTGAAATTCACAAACATTTTCATGACTTCCCAGTAGTTTCTAAATACTTGTGAAATACATAATATAAAATCATGGTTCAGTGCAAAATGAAGTCATGCTTTCATCCATGAAGGTATTTGTAAATCAGTTCTTACTTAAATCACTTGAATATGTAAATCATATTCAGCCATCTGTAATAGCTGGGTGAGTGACATAAAATGTTTCTTACTTTCATCTGCTTGTCTCCATTTGCAAAATTATTTATAATAGCAAGCGAATGCTGAAACCGAGACCCTCCAATCCCTGCATCTGCAATCAGCTGGCTTACAGCTTTGATGAGCTAGAGATGAAGAGAAAAAGAGAGTCAAATAGGGTTATTTAGCAAAAAAAATGAAGTTTGGAAATCATGTTTAATCCCTGGTTTACATATGTTGATGAATGCAAGCAGTAGAGAGGGCTTTACACAAGTATTTTATCAAGACAAAATATAGGAAAAAACTACATGAACATAAATTATAATAATCTCACATGCATTTATAATTGTTTGACTTTTAAACTAGTGAGACCTGCCTCAGCAATGAAATACTCCAATTTTATGGCCACTGGTATGAGACTGAAGAGGTAAATTAGATTCATACTGTTTACAAGTGGGTCAGATTTTCTCTAAGATCTGGATCTGATCTACACAGCCTGTAGTAAAACTTGACATAACTGGCCAGTTCATTGTCACCCCAAGAGAAGAGGCCATTTGCAGAATTCAAAGAGCCGTTTCAGTGGAATACTTAATAATAACCAATAAAGATTGTTTCAATTTCCCCTGACACCTTCCTCACCTGTAGGTGGGATCTGACTATTGACTTCTGCTTGTTAAATTCAAAATTCTTCCTCATGAAAAAATAAAGAAGAGCAGATGCCTCTGTCTGAGTTGATCGTGACCGATGGTTGCAGCACTTCAGAATTTCATAGCAGAATGATCCACACAGGTCTGCCTGCCCTTGAAAGAATGCGGATGGGAACTATAGGAAAGAGGTGTGAAAATGGTTAGTACTAGCCTCAGATCTTACTGTACTATGAGACAATATATTGAGTGTCAAATTTTCATTTAAAACCAACTTCCTTTTCTCTCTCTCTCACTCCATGCTCCAAGTACTCACACTGGTATTTAGCAAAAACATGTGCCACTAACCAAACATACCCTTGTCAACTAAATGCAAGTAAGAGAAACCTCTGGGTGCCAGTTTGTGCGCGCACATGTTTGGTTGTTTATAAAACACAAGTCAAACTGTTCTTCGTGGAAGTGCATATAGCAGCAGGAGCACAGCCTCCTAAATGGATCAGACCCCAGTATGAGTCAGACACCCACATGAGTCGGACACCATGATAAAAGACCAGCAAGAAGAAAGAAGTTTCACACAATACATCATAGAAAGCCAGGCTCGCACTTCTGAGCAATAATTTGAACAGTATTAGAAAACAAGCAGTAGAAAAATGTGAGGGCCCAAGTGGCTCTGTCATCTGGAAACTACTGATCATGGACAGAGTGAGTAGAGCAGAGAGAACAGAGTGCATTGGGTAGATTCCTCTAGTTTGGCTAGCTCTAGATTCCTATGGAGATTGGTGTCCCTGCAAAAACCACAATAGAGACTAGTAATCCCAAACAATTGAAGAATACAGTGACCAGTGGCTACAGGATGGACGTATCCAACGCTGTTAGATATTTGCTTTCCTGCCACTACACAGTCTTGCTTGGCTCCTGGAAGTCTGGTGTGTAATTTAAAGCAGTCTGTGGCTTATTCTTCCCTTGGCCCTTGAGCTATGTAGCTGGGAAAACTGTGACTTCTTATTTTTACAACCCTCAGAGATGTTTTGGAAGGATGGTACATGGGCTAAAAGTTTTCTGGACTGTGTATTATACTCCAGGTGTCAAAGCACCAGGTTATAAGAATATAAGAGTTGCCATTTACTGGGTCAGACCATAGGTCCATCTTCCCCAGTATCTTGTGTCACATGGTGGCAGAGAAGATGCTGAAAGGGAAAATGAATTGGGTATGGCCAGGGTTTCTTCCCCTCTGCTCCTCTCCCACTTACAGCACTTAAGGTCTAGAAAGTTTTAGTTCAGAGGCAGTATCCCTAACTCCCATACTCAATTGCTACTGGTGCCCCTTTCTTCCAGGAATTGTCTAATCCCTTTTTTGAATCTAGCTAAACTGCCAGCTTCCACAACATCTGCTGGCAATGAGTTCCACTTTAATTGCATATTGTGTGAAAAAGAACTTCCCTTTATTAGTTTTGAACTTACTACCTTACTTCATTCTATGACCCCTAGTTCTTGTACTGAGACAGTAGATAATAAATCTCTATTTACTTATTTTGTAAGCCCTTATTAGGAACCCCCTCAAATGTCTCTTTTCTCAACTGAATAGGTTTAGCCTTTTAGTCTCTCTTCATATGAAAGCATTTCCATACCACTGACTATCCTTGTTGCCCTCCTCTGGACCTTCTTTAGTTCTTCTATATCCTTTTTGAGGTGTGGGGACCAGAACTGGGCATCGTATTCAAAGTGTGGACTTACCATGGATTTAGAAAAGGGCATATCAAATTTTATCTTTTGTTTACAATTCCCTTAATAATCCTGAACATTTTGTTTGCCTTTTTAACGGCTGATGAGCACTGAGCTGATGCTTTTAGTGAACTGGCCACAATGAATCACAGATCTCTTTCCTATGTGGTAGCAGCTAATGAAGAGCCCATCATAAAATAGGTATAATTTGGGTTATTTTTGCCAAGGTGCATCACTTCACACTTATCTACATTGAATTGCATCTGCCATTTAGTTGCCCATTCACTTAATTGTGCCAGATCCTTCTGTAGTTCCTCACAGTCCACCGTGGTCTTTATTACTTTGAATAATTTTGTGTCATCGGCAAATTTTGCCACCTCATTACTCACCTCCTTTTCCAGATCATTTATGAATTGTGTTAAACAGCACTGGTCTCAACACTGATCCCTGGGGCACCATGCTGTTTACTTCTTTCCATCCTGAAAACTGGCCATTTATATTTACTCTTTTCTTTTATCTTTGAGCCAATATCTAATCCACAAGTGGATGTTTCCTGTGATCCCACAATTATCTAATTTAAGAGCCTCTGATGGTGGACCTTGTGAAAAAATTTTTGGAAGTCCAACTATACTATGGCAACTGGATCATCCCGATCCACCTGCTTATTGACACCCTCAAAGACCTCTAGGAAGCTGATGAGGCATGATTTACCCTTGACAAAGCTGCATTGATTCCTCCCCAACAACTCGTGTTCATCCAAACTAAACAATTGTTTTCATTACTGTTTCACCAGTTTTCCAGGAAAAGAAGTTAGGCTTACTGGCTTGTAGTTCCCTGTGTCCATTCCAGAGTCTTTTTTTACATATGGGAGTCACATTGGCAACTCTCCAGTCCTCTACTACCAGAGCTGTTTTTAGTGATAAGTTGCATGCTGCAATTAGGAGTTCAGCTATTTCCAATCTGAGCTCCTTCAAGACCCTAGGATGAATGCCATCAGGTCCTAGAGATATGCTCTTGTTTAATTTATCAATTCCCTCTACAGCCTCAACTAGTAAAATTTAAATTCAGGTCAGCTCCACTGGCTTGCCCCTTGAGAGCAGTGGATCTGGTGCTGGGATTTCCCTAACATCTTCCACCATGAACAGATGCAAAGAATGCAATTAATTTCTCAGCAATGGCCCTATCATCTCCTTTTTACACCTTGATCATCCAAAGGCCCAACTGACTCCCTGGCAAGTATTTGGCTTCTAATGCACTTAAAGAAATTTTTATTGTTACCTTTTTGTGTCTCTAGCAAGTTTCTCCTCAAATTCTCCCTTAGCTTTTCTTATTTCAGTTTTACATTTGCCTTGCCAGTGTTTATGCACTTTCTATATTTTCCTCATTAGGATCTGACTTTCACTTTTTGTAAGAAGCCTTTTTTTCTACCTATTGGCTCTGCAGCACTTCCATTAAACCATGGTGGCTTTCTTTTGATCCACTTTCCTTTGTTTTGCTTTTTTCTGATTTGCTGTACATTATTTGCTCTGTGCCTCCAATATGGAGCTTCATTTTGGTGTAGTCTCCCTTTTTACAATTAAAGGCTACTGTGGTAGATTTCTTGTCTCCCCCACCTATGTGGATGTCAAACCCAATTGCATTGTGGTTACTATTGCTGAGTGGCTCAGTAACACTTACCATTTGTACCAAATCCTGTGCATTACTTAGGACTAGGTTAAAAATGACAGTGGGTGTTAGGGAGGGTGTGGGGTATGGGGACCACCCCTAGGCCCCTCCTCCCCCCAGTGCAGAGTCCCTGGCAGTGGCAGCAGCAGGTGGTGGGTGCTCGGGGTGATTTTGCCCCATGCAGGCACTGCTGTCCAGTGGTGTGCAGCTCTGGCCAATGCTGCACACGGTGGCAAGGGGTGCAGCCAGGCTGGCCTTGCCTCTAATCGCATGGGGCTCCATGCAGTGTACATGCAGCTTCTGGCACTTGTGTGCCACTGGGGGAAGCCCTGCATGATGGAGCCAGCTGCCTTCCCTGCCTCCTACTGTGAAGGTCCCGGGACTCCGCTGGGAAGCAGGGGACAGGAGCAGGGCTCCCCTCCACTTCTGGTGGAGTCCTGGGACCTGTATGGCAGGAGGCGTGGAGGGCAGCCGGCTCCATCGCACAGGGCTTCCCCTGGTGATGTGCGAATGCCGGGAACTGCATGTACACTATGTGGAGTCCTGCATGATAGGGCTCCTTGTCACCACATGCAGCACTGGCCAGAGCCATGCACCACTGAGTGACAGCACCTGCGCAGGCCATGAGTGTCCCGAGTGCCTGCCACCTGCTGCTGCTACTGCCTCTTGCTGCCAGTGGTGGGGACTGTGTGCAAGAAGAAAGGCCATTTTGTGTGCTAGGGGGGAGTGTGTGGGGGTCCCCACAAACCCTCCAACCTGCCTCACACCTCATAAACCCCACATACCTACACCCTGCTCCCAAACCCCCCACATATACACACTTCCCGCAACATACCTTATTGCCCCCACAGAGCCACACCCCCTCACAAACCCACCACACACCCCCACACCCCACCATACACACATCTCCACCCACCCCCAACCACACCCCACACCCCCAACACACAATATTCAAGAGTAAGACTTTATTTTTGAATTATTATGCAACCACCTCTATGTACACTATGCAAATACAAATCATGACAAAAATATTTTTTATAATAAAATTAAAATATTGTTTGACTTTTAGTATATGATTTGTTTTCTTCTGGTTTCAAGATGGCAACTCTCCCCTCCCAAAAAGAATACTTCCGAGGGGCAAGGGGAGGGACTTCTGGTGTCAAAGGTGAAGCGTAAGGCGGTGGGGCTTCTGGTCCCAAGTTGGTGACTGGGGGCGGGGCACCTGTCAGGGGGTGGGGCTACCCTTGCAGCTCTTGACAGTTCACCAAAACTCATTAAGTGACCTTCCAGCTGAAATAATTGCCTGCCCCTGTGTTAGACTAACCCAGTCTGTCTGTCGATAGTCGAAGTCCCCCACCTTTACTGCACTTCCTGCTGTTGCAGCCTCTTTCAACTCCCTCAGCATTTCTAGCTCACTGCTACTGTCCGTTTCTGTGGTTTGATAGTGTATCCTTAGACAGACTTTTTTTCTATGACATCAATACCATTATTTACTGCTAAGCACTCTGGCTCCCCCCACCTTTGATCTTAAACTTCCAGCATTAACCATAAAAGCATGTGTACTTTTTATTGCTGTCTGGTTGGTTACTTATGTGTGAACTTTTATTCATTAAAGGTATTTGTATGTGCTTGTCTTCACCCTGTTTCTTACCCTTATTTTTTATACTTTCACAACTATAGGGTGTGCCAGTCTGAGCTGTGTGCTGTTCTGCACCTGTTGGCTTTTCCTCTGTATTGCTCTGCCACCTTTTAAAAGATATGTGCCAGCAGTTTGGTATCATTTTGGCTCAAATGGAGACCATTCTTCTGTACAGGCTCCCCCTGTTCCAAAAAGTTCCCCAGTTCTTAAAAAATCTAAACCCTTCCTCCCTACACCATTGTCTCAGCCACATATTGAAACGCTAGAGCTCTGCCTGTCAGCCTGGCTCTACCTGTGGCACTGGAAGCATTTCAGAGAATGCTACCATCGAGGTCTTGGACTTGAACCTCCTCCCTAACAGCCTAAATTTAGGACCATTTTGTTTAGCATAACAGAATGACAGCAGCCATCATCTTATTTTTTGGCAATCTCTATATTGCATAATATTCCAGGTCATGATTATTTCTAACAGGGCTTTAATCTTAGCCTTGGAATCTGAGATTCCATTACAATTAGACCTTATTCCCAGTCACAGTAAGGTAGATGCCTAACAGTGTTTCACAGTGCTCACACAATTTTTGGACCAGTAGTTGCCAGTAGTTCCATATGTTCTTGGATTTTTTTCTAGTAAAAGTGGATTAATGAAAAACAAAATGTTAAAAGCAATGGTTTTGTTGAGATTCCCATGAGACACAGCTTGAAACCCTGCCTATATTCCTGGCATTTCATCTGGCAGACTGTGAGACATCCTGGCTTTACTGGATCTACTGTTGTGGAGCAGGCTCACCACACAATCTTTTGCTTTGGGGCTGTTAGGCTAGAAGCCCTAGCTCATCTGGGCGCCTTGGAGACTGGGGAAATGATTTCTCTTCAGCATGAAATTTCAATTTTTAATTTTTTTTCCAGAATAGATTTAATTATTTTCTCAGAAAATCTGAATTTCCCACTTCCTATCATTTCTTGTAGGTATTAGTAGTCTTTTTCCAACCCTAAGCCCTAAATACCAATAAAACGAGAAGACAAAAAACATCTTACAACATGCAGTCATTTCCTGCAAGTTGTATAGGCCAGAGCAGTCTGTGAACCTGATGAAATAGCTTTCAAGAGAAAAACCAGAGTTACCTTGCTCACAAACAGCCGTAAGGCAGCAAAGACATGCTTGAGGGCTACTGCAGACTGGTTGATTTGCAGAAAAAGGAGATAGGTATCAAAGACCTTTTTCATTAGTGCATTCTGACAATCGGATTGCTGGAGTTGTCTCTGAAAAGACAACACAAACATTGTAACAGCTTTAATATACAGTAAATAGAAAAAATATTCCTTGGGTTCTTGCACCACGTCTGAGATTCTGGGACTACACCAGTGCAAAAAAAAAAGGTGGGCAAATGAACAGCCCTCAAGTGACATAACTCACTCACCTTTGTCGAATTACCCGTGAAAGAAAAACCAGTACAAATTATACCAGTGTAAGTATCTATCCATACTTAACTTTGGCATGGCTATTTGCTCAAGAGAAATAAGCTATTATAGGGGTAGATCTACCTCTAAAGATCTACCCCTGCCATAAAGTAAGAAGGCACTATAATAACACCTATTGTGAGCATTTGCCCCAACACAGTTACTCATCTGTTTGCTCCATATCTTGGTGTAATTTACATCATGTATAAAATCAATTAGATTAAACTGTGTTATTGTATGTCATCTGTCTAGGCTCCAGTGTCTGTAATGTTTGCTCTGAAAGTGTTTGGTGGTTAGTATAATCAGTGGGCTTGCAGTTACACTGGGAAACTGTTTCCTCTACTTGTTCTTCCCACTTGCTGACCACGTCTAGTGATTAGAAAAGGAAAGCATGAGGCACAACACCAAACTTCTGCTGGTGATTGGTACTTCCTAGTATGCCCTTGACTGAGTCACCTAGGCCAACATTTGCTAATTCAGTTTCCTGTAATTTGACACGTTATATACATGTGATATAAATGGTTTGCTAAGCTATCTGGGAGTCATGAGAACCTATGACTCCCAAAAACTTCACTAGAAGCTATAGAAAATGTAGGATACTTGGATACCCATGTTTGAAAAGCTCCGCCTTAAAATCTCTGTGCCTTGACTCCCCTGTTTTTTAAAATGTGACTAATAAAACATACCCAACTTCGTAAAGATATCTGAGATTTTCTAATGATGGACTTGGGCCATCATTCTTTCTAGTCCTTCTGCTTTGACAGGGAAGTATGGACCAACTTATGCAAATAACCTTAATGCCTGCTCCCCAAAAACAACTATATAAAGGAACAATTGGGCACTACACTATATATTTTTTATTTTTGGCATGTTCTCATGAGCAAATTAAGTTTCATGGAAACTTCTGTTTTTTCACTCCCAAGCACCATTTCAAGGAGAAATTGCACAAACAACCATACCTGGTGGTTCTGAGTGAAGAGACCCAATAAGTCAAGAATGGTGACGCAAACTTCTGTGGCAATATTTGCTTCTGTGTCTACATAATGAACAATGTCTGTTTCATTGGAGCCACCTACGGAAAAAGAAACAAGAAGAAAAAGGTAAAAATCCCCAAGTAAGTGTGGATAAAGATAATTTACCCATCAATCAGATCAAGATCTACCTCTAAAATTCAGGATACAGAGTCTGTTCTAAATATGTCTGTAATCTAAGGGATATTGTTAACAGAGCACTGATGCTTGTTTGGGTTTTGTGTATTTCAATTTTATTTTGTTGCCAATATTAGCTTTTACTGAATATTGTTTCTGTGGTTTTGTTTTTCTTCTTAAATGACAGGCAGCCTAGAAAGAGATATGCACAGTGAATTAGATAATATCATTGTAGCTCCATCTGAAAATTGTAATGTTCTATAAATAAATATATACTTTGCAATATCCTGTCACATAGTTCACTACCAATCTGGCTTGGCCCTGTCTGTTTAGCAATATATTTATCCACTAAGTCTGCTAAGGGTCTATTTTGTAAGGTATGTTGGACTGTGTTTGCTGAAGGCATTAACACCAGCAATAGCTAATGAATGGATTCCCCCTGTGGAGGATAAGGCCAAGAGGATGGCTTCCAAAGAGCATTTGATCTTCCTGGCACAGGCTGTGCCCAGCTGGCAGCACCAGCGTTTTTTGATCTGGCAGGCAGATCGGGGCCCACCCGCTGTGCCAGACTGATCCCGGGGGTGTAGGCCCCCAATCTGCCTTCTGGATTACAGGAAGCTGGTGCTGCTGCTTGGGGCCAGTGGCAGGCAGGCCCGGGCAAATCAGCTCATGTGGGGACCTGCTACTGCTATGATCCCAGGGTGGGGGTGGGACCCCACATAAGCTGATTTGCCCCAGGCCCTGCACCCTCCTTGGGCTGGCTCCAGTACGGGGTCTAGGGCATATCAGCTTATGCGGGGATCCTCCTGTGCCCTGAGATCGGGGTGGCAGCAAGTCCCTGCATGAGCTGATTTCCCTTGGGCCCTCCTGCCGCTGACCCTAGGTGGCATCACTGGCCTCCTGTGATCTGGGAGGCAGATCAGGGGGCCTGCACCCCCGGAAAGTCTGGCACAGTCCCCGCACCATCCCAGGGGTGCGGGTGGGCCCCAATCTGCCTGCTGGATGACAGGAGTTTGGTGCTGCCAGCTGGGGCCAGTGGCAGCACTAATCTTCCTGGTGTTGGGTGCGGACTGCGCTCAGCGCCATCCCAGGTGGCAGGAGCAGCCTTCTGTGATCTGGCAGGCTGATCAGGGCCCCCCTGCACCCCTGGGAGGGCTGTGGGGCTCTTCTAACTCTTCCCAGGGCTGTGGGGGGCCCGATCTGCCTGCCAGATGACAGGAGGCTGGTGCTGCTGTAGCAAAACCCCAAGTTTTTATTTTTTTAAATTTATTTTAAAATGCGTTACCTCCCCTTCCCCAACCATTTTTGACTTTTTCTCTCCCTCTCTATTCCCTATAGGTAAGTATAAGTAAGCTA